ATTCTTCTACAGGATTAATGAATTTTCAGTTTATGTTTTGAATCTTTTGGTTTATCTATTTTATCTGTTTAATTTGATGCAACTTCAACATAATGGTTGGTCATGGTTTTTCAATTTATCTTCTATCAATTGGTAGGAAGAAATAGCAATCTCTTATAAGTTGAATGGATTAGAAGAGATACTTAAAATAACAAGAATCTATACTGTTTATAAAAGTGTGAATGAGGAGGTATTTGCTTTTGGAATTTTTTTTACTTAAATACCCCTCTTCTTAAATTTAGTTCATCTTCATTGAAGGGGCAAAAACTGTAATTAAAAGAATACCATTAAATACATTCAATTACCTCTCATTAAGTCTCATGTTTAAGTCATTAAATAAATCACATTCTCTCTCGTTGAATCCAACATTATATTTTTGTTTATTATCATTAAATTCCACTAATAAATTCATAAGCAATAATTATTAATAGAATTAAATTTTATATTTTTTAAATAAACATAGAAATTAAATCATATTTTTCATCTAGGTGGTGGGTAAGTAGTTCAACCATTTGGGTCAAATGGATAACTTCATGATGTCATAAATAAATAATACAAATTTAGAAATATAAAAAATACTTTTGTTTATCATCATTAAATTCCACTAATAAATCCATACATAATAATTTTTAATAGAATGAAATTTTATATTTTTAAAATAAATCTAGAAATGAAATCATATTTTCCATCTAGGTTGTGTGTAAGTACTTCAACCATTTGGGTCAAATGGATAACTTCATGATGTCATAAATAAATAATACAAATTTAGAAATATAAGAAATACAAAAAATATAGAAAAAAAATAAATTTTGAAAAAAAATATGGACATGTTTCTATTATTATATATTTGTCATATTAAAAAATAACTATGATAAAATAGATATTATTTTATTAATGGTGGATATCAAATATACAACTTAAAATCGATGGGAAATTAAACCATTTCCTATCTAGGGGGTGGGTTAGTGTTTCAACCTTTCAGGTCAAATAGGTTAACCCATGATGTATGTTCAAATTCATTTTGATTTAGATTGGTTTCAACCCAAACCTGATCCATTAACACATATATTCTTATTTTATATCAATGGACCAAATATTGGCTTAATCCAACTCAATCCAATTTAAATTTGTTATGGATGGACCAGATCCAATCCAATCTAATAAATATATTGGACCAGACTGGTCTAATTCAATATGTCTTATTGGTCCCTCCAGTTCGTCCACATTGACTTTGGACTGGACGGGGCCCAATCCAAAACCGGTCCATTGGCACCCTTACACATGACCCCACTAACCATGTCAAATGGCTCAATGATTTAATTAGATAGGTCATTGTAGGCAAGTGGTTTGGTAGGGATGCAAATAGATTGGGTTGGATTTGAATCAAGGTAAATTTGAATTTGATTTGATATGAAGATTTAATCGGATATCATAAATATTGATTCAAATTTGAATCCAATCAATATGCTGGATATTAAAATTTGATACGACTTGATTTAATTAAAAAATTATTAAAAGGAAAAGAAAATATAATAGTTAAAATAAAGAAAAACAAAAAATATAATTATTTTTTCAACTATTTTCATCATATAAGAAGTTTACAAAAATGCAATATAAATAACATATATTATATATAAATGATATATATATATATATANCATATATTATATATTAATGCTACATATATAATATATATATAAATGATATATATATATATATATATATATATATGTATGTATATTATTGATTTGACTATATATATATATATATATATATAAATGATATATATATATATATAAATGATATATATATATATATATATATAATTGATTTGACCACAATATTAAAAACCAATATTCAAACAATATATTGGAATTGCATTTCATCTTGGTAAATAAGTATTTTTTATTATTTCATAAATTAAATAACAAAAAATAAAAATATAATTTTTTTTATAAATTTTATAGAAAAAAGTGGACATGCATTAATATTATATATTCTTCGTATTAAACAAAAATATGTTTGAAAAATAAGAGTTATTGTTAGTAAAGATAGAAATGGCTAAAATACAAAGAAAAAAATAAATTAATGTCTTAATCATAGTCCATTTTCCTGGTTAAATAGGTTAATGGTTCAATCAATAAGGTCATTTGGTTGCTGACTATTATCATTATCATCATTTGATATTGCCACGTACAACGCGCATACACCTTTGCTAGTTGATTTAAATACCCATAATTTAACAATGAATATGTCTCTAAATAGAGCAGAGTTGCCATATAGGATTCATGTAGCGAGGCCTAGTATGGTTGTGACAAGGCTTAGGCCATGTTCGGGAGTGCTTAAGTTAAAAATAAGTGCAACAGATGCTTATTTGATTAAAGCACTTATTTGCATTTAACACCCAACTTTTTCAAATGCTTACTTTTTAAAATAAGCACTTATTTTGTATTGGATCTTTGGTATTTTTTTTCTCAAATAAGCACTTAAATAAGCATTTCTGACTATTCTTCCTTCATTTTCTTTCAAATTTTCAAAATATACCCTTTGAAAGCACTTTTATTAAATTATTTTTATAAAAAATACTTTTATGAAAGTGCTTTTATAAAAACAATTTTATGAAAGTATTTTTATAAAAACACATTTGTGAAAATACTTGTATGAAAACACTTTTAAGAAAGTACTTTTATGAAATCCTTCATAAAAATTACTTTTATAAAATTCAACTATGAATAATTTTATAAATGGTATTTTAAAATCCAACTAGGGATAATTTTGGAAAAAAAAATTGAATAAGTGCTTATTGTATAAGCACTTCAAAAAAGCTGAAAATTTGAGCTTAAAAATAAGTTCTTATTTTTAAAATAAACACTTATGTCAGACTTACTTCCCAAATACCAATAAGTGCTTAATGGTCTAAATAAATACTTGTTTTTTAAGTACTCCCAAACATAGCCTTAATTGATAAACGAATCTATCAAATTCTTGTACTATGATCCCTGCACAAGACAGCTATGATGTGTTCGTTCAAATCTTATAAGCTAAAAGCTCTGTCCTGCACAATTCAATTATTGATGCATACTACAAAATACATAAAACCAAAAAGCAACACTAGAAAAATTGGAATATCAATTATACCATAGTAGGATGAGAGATTTGCTCTCACCAAAGCAATTTTCTTTACACGTGTACATGCAAGGTTCCAAAACAGCCCCATGTGGGAAGACAAACACCACTTACATGTCCACGTGGTGAGTGTAGATTTTCCTCAATATGCATTCAACCTTCGTTTGGTGGTACAAACCATAGACATTAAAGAGTCTATCACTTTCTCTTGCAGATGATAGATCTTTCATTTAGAGTCTAAAGTCTAAACTTCTCTCTCAGATCTCTAAATGTGAGATCTCTCTCACTCGTTGACACATTTATCTCAAAGTCTCAGTATATCTCAAATCTCAAATCTGAGCTTCCATTTTGACAAGTTAATAAATCGCAAACCGTTCTTCGAGTTAAACGGTTCAATGATTAAACAGTTTAGATCAACGGTTTGGAGCAAAGTGAAACCGATTACCTAAACAATTTCCAATTTGAATGGTCTAACTTTCTGAGTCAATAACAGTTCGAAAACATTGATCTTAGATAGATCCCTACAAAAAAGCGAAATCAGTAAGTTTGCACGAGGGAAGTTGGGACTAACTGCATTGGAAATTTATTATTGCACAAGGAAATCGTCAAAAAAGTGGGCTAGTTGCCGAGTTCTTTTTATCAAACAGCGCATAATCTTGTCCTAGGTGGAAGAATCATCAAAAAAGTGGAGTTCGCATCTGTACCCCACTGCTCATCCCTTGTATAATACAAGTCACCTACCCACATCTTCCCATCAATAGTAACATGCAAGAGGTCAGATCTATTCCTCATACACCGCACTTTCACATGTTTCTAATATAGAATGTATGCATAAGGTCGGTGTCGGGAATAATCTAATAATATGAGAGGTGTTCTCAATATACAAGCCGTAAGTAGCTAGGGGTGGGGTAGGTAGAGCTCTTATGGGCAGGATATATACGAACTCTGTTGAACCTCAACCTTACCCATTTCGGGTTGGGTGTGGGTTGGTTTCAGCTTAGCCCAATTTCTCTACTTCCTTCTACCAAATACTTATTTCCTGAATTTCGAGTCCTATTATTGGCAATTTTACGTGTAAACGAACATAATTATCATGTTTTTAAAACAATTGCCTCTCAACCTAAAGTTTTTGACATACAACATACAATGCATACATATAAATAAATAAATATGCATATACGCGTAAATGCATTAATATTTTCAATGAGAAAAAATACATATGTATATATTTACGTGTATACATAGTTTTTTTTTGGTAATTTATATATGCATAATTGTATTTAACTACATATCATATTTATAAGTACTTATTTGTATAAATATGTATTTATATAATATTATACATATCGAGCTAAATCAAGTTCAGATTTAGGTTAATCAAGGCTTCGACCTAGCCACACTCAAAGTTAAACTGGGCCGAGAGTTCCTAGTTTTCAACCCTAATCCTAATCCAAACTTCAACCCAATACAAATTTTTTTATCCTTATAATTAAACCCTAATTTGGACTTTAGAATAGATTAATATCCATTGTCAACCTCTTTAGCCAATTCAGATTTCCTGCCTACAAAAATCCTTTTCACTCCTATCCACATATATTAGAGCCGTACATCAGGAATGTTTCTCCATGGATGATAACTTGTAAATATTACATACGGAGAATTGGAGATGTGCTCAATGCACAGCTGTAACGAGGTGTGGGTAGGAGATCCGAACTCTTGGCATTTGGCAACCAACCTCGTTTGTCCACCTGAAGTATGAACTGTCACTTGACAGATCTTATGAATGCCTCGTGTTAGGAAATTGGTAAACTTTCAAGGACTTGTGTTTAATTTTCAGCCAAAGTACAGAAAACTGGAAAGCGAAAGACTCGTGGGCCGCGGAGAGAGGACACTGGAGACTGGTGACTTGGGAGTACTGACCGCTTAGACACGCACTGGTCTACGGATTCTTGTCGAGGGAAACTCAAGGCTACAGGAAGAGGACGAGCAGAGCACGTCCTACTCCGGCAGCCTAGGCGTCGCCGGAAGATCGGCTGGTTGCAGGTTACGGCCTGTCGGTCTGAGTAGCTGCTGCCCAGCTAACTAAAAGTTCATATTTTTTTTGGGTATAAAGCCCCTTTCTCCTTCCAAAGTCGGGTTAATATCGGACTTTGGCATTCTTATTTTCGTTAAACCCTACATAAACCCCAGTGAGTTCATAAATCTATGTTTTTTGGTTTCTTTTCTATTGAAGATTTGGTGGATATCTTGCCGGACCGTCATTAATAAACAGAATATTCTGAGAAAGATTTCTTTTTGGAGAGAAATCAAGTCATTTCTACTTATTTAAATGGGCGATTCTTTAGAGAGACTGGGCTCTGAAGCGGAGTCAGGGTTGGAATCGAGCATGAAGGAGGAGTTGTGTATGGAGATCGATCCTCCTTTCAAGGAAAACGTTGCGACTGCTGAGGATTGGAGGAAGGCATTGAATAAGGTTGTTCCTGCGGTGGTCGTGCTGAGAACAACGGCTTGTCGGGCGTTCGACACAGAAGCAGCTGGTGCGAGCTATGCTACAGGTTTCGTCGTCGATAAGCGTCGGGGAATTATTCTCACAAATCGCCATGTTGTTAAGCCTGGTATCTTAATCCGTTTTTATATCGGAACTTTAATTTCTTGTACTGAGAATGTTTTTTTTTTTCATTTTTCTTGAATGCGCATTCTGATTAAGATTGAAGGGAGTTTCATTTATTTTTAATTCTTTTCTTTCTGCAGGCCCTGTGGTTGCAGAAGCTATGTTTGTAAACCGTGAAGAAATTCCAGTGCATCCTATATATAGAGATCCGGTAGGTGGACTTCCCTATATGTCCTATATGTCCTATATGTTCATGCTTAGTTTTCAGCTAACTCCATGATGTTTTATGAGATCGTGGACATGGAAACACGTTATTGAAATTTAAGAGGTCATGAAAGAGTGGTTCCAAGCATATGTATGTAGGCGATTTATTACAGTGGTTATGCATTTCTATGAGATTGATTTCCCATTATTTTACCTTCTATGTTACTTCATAAACAACAATGGGTTTACATTTCTTATCCTCTTTAATCCATTCCAATGAACTTCTTGACTTTGAATGGCGTTGCCTACATTTTTTATTGAAAGGAATTAGGTAATGTAAAGTAACACGGGTTTATATATGCAAAGTTCATGGGTTAGAGAAAATAATTTAATGGAACAGAGTTGAGAGAATCCTTATTGAAAAAACGGAATAAGGGAATGATGCACTGAAGCTTGAGAGGTAAAAATATTCTTCTTTTGCATAAATTGCAAACATATTCTGGCAATTCTAAATATTAACCAGTTTCAGGATTACATGCAAAATTTTTCTAAATTTTCAATCTGGAACTGGTGGATTGAACATTGTGAGGTGAATTAGTATCTAGATCTTCAAGAGTTAAAGATGAAATTTCTCTACTAGATGTATAATTCTGATAAGGGGCCAAAGGTTAGGTCTGTATCCAGTATGCTCCTCCCAAGACCAAGATAACTGGTACCAACATTGGGTAGTGGCCTTTTATATCTAATATTGATGATATTTATCAGTGGGTCCTTATGTCAAATAGAGGCTGCATTTTCACAATGATAAGCATATCACTTGTTACTAGAGAATGTCATGAACCTATCACTAGAGATAAAGTGTAAACAATATGAGAGAATGCCCCTAATTAACATGCTCAAGGAAAGCAAGAATCTAAGGAGAGGCATATGTTGATTCTGTTTCAGGTGTGAAAAACTTTAATATATAATTATTTTTAAAATGTGATAGAGGAGATGACATCCTTTATACCTTTTCGATTCCAAATCTCCCTTTGTATATTTAATCTTCCCTTCAGTTGTGAAGTGGAGATGACAGCCTTGTTATTATTGTTATTGTTATTGGAATTAATATCTATTAATATCCAATTCCAGGACCATGACCTGTACCCAAAAGTCAAAACCTAAATCTATGATCAAATGACCTGTAAACCTTGAGACCATCAATTGAACACCCTGATGTTGGTCTTTGACATTAGCAACCTGGAGATGATACATTTATTGGAATTGGAGGAACACATGGAATTTGATAATAGTATAATGCTAGTTCATGGGAAACTGAAGTCAAGTATATACTATATAGTCACTAAGAAATGCAAGAAGATATGTGTTTGAGTTTCTAAGAAATAGTTGAGCTTTTAATGTTAGTTTCTTTTTCTAGCAAGAAATCTAGGTTATGATATGGATGCATTGAATTTATTATCAACAGTCAATTGAGTGTATAGAAATTATATCTTTAGCATTTTGTAGCCTGGTGGTGTGACTTCATCAACAATTCATTTTCAGGTTGTGGTGAATCTAAACAATTGGTTTAATTCCATCTAAAACTGAGTTCTAAGGTGAAATGGTGAAGACACTAGTTCAAGGCTGTGTATTGCAGCTAGGTCATTGTCTTTTGTCCTTAAACACTATGCCAGATAATGTTGTTCTTCTTGCCAAATCTAAATTCCACCCATTCCTAGGGTGCAGTCTTCCAGAACCCAAATCACTATTGACTATCCTTTCTCCTGCGAAAAGTCACCCAATTGATGAGATGTCCCTTCCATTCCTGGATATTCATCTTCAGGTTTATCATTGTGTTACATATTTTTTTTTTTGCTTTTATATTTCTTTTAATATATTATTTCTCAGTCCAGCTACCTTATCTTTTGATTTCAGCCTTCTTGTCTATCAAACTCAGATCCTATTCAGCCTCTAGGAGCTCCAGGTATCCAGCTATGCTTGCTCTCCATCTATCAGTGCTATTTATCCACCTTAACCAAGTTGTCCTACCTTGTTTTCGCTAGATTCTTTATTCTTTCTGTATTGGACCTGCAACACTATGAATCCCTATATTTCCATCACCAGTTCACCATTAGTATACTTTCGAAGGACCTGCTACCTATCCTACATAGTAATTCCTTTATTAGGATAAGAAGTTTGGTGTCACTAATTAGGGTGTGTATGAACTTGGTTGCATTAGGAATGCATACATGGTTTATGCATTTACATGGCACTTGGCTTATGCATGCCTGCATTTTATGCATGTCTGTGAACTGGATGTTTATCTATTTCAGTACTGTGCACATTCAGTATACTACTTGTTTTGTTTTGTTTTTCCCCTTGAGCTGATGCATATCATGCATGTCTAGATGCTTTAGTTGTTTATTTTGTTTTGTTTACCTATGCAGGATTATATGTTCATGGAACTAACAATTTTATTCTCTTCAGGTCCATGATTTTGGCTTTTTTCGTTATGATCCTGATGCAATCCAATTCTTGAGCTATGAAGAGATTCCTCTTGCTCCTGAGGCTGCTTGTGTTGGTCTAGAAATCAGGGTTGTTGGTAATGATAGTGGTGAGAAGGTACTTAATTTGCATAGCTAGTTTTATCTTGTTCTTTGGCCTTTGCATTATTTTTGTTGCATCTATTTCTATTCATGGTCTATTGTTAACCCAGTAAACCAACTATTCTTGATTGATTTAGCACTTGCAGTATCCATATGAAGTTTTAAATCTTATATTTTTCTTTTGTTAATCCCATCCTTTATGTTAAAGATTGGTGTTTTTTTTTTTTTTTTTTTGTAATTCATTCTGGGGTTTGTTGTAACTTCTGGTTATATTGGGCTTCTATCTATTATTCTAGTTAGTTGTATTTGTGGCTTGTTCATTAAGCTGATTGATGGCTTGCTTTAAAAGCCACCTGGTCTGTGCTTTGTTTAAGCCATCATTAGTTAGGTGAGAGAGGATAAACATAGATTATAGGCTGTGTAGCAGGGTTATGGGTTCCATCCCCAGATCCGCCTGCATTCTTCCTACTTTCCAATAGTTGATTTATGCTGCTTTCTTTCCCATGTATATAGTCTATTTGCCTGAACAGCACAAATCTGTTTGGTTTGTTTGTGGTTTTATCTGTCTGGTTATATTTTCTTTTTGTTTGGTTGTCCATTGTCTGGTTCGGCAGTATGGCTTCCATTTGAATCTGTTTTTTTTTTCCTTTTTATTTATGCATCTGGTTGCCTTAACATGGTATCAGAACCCATGATACTGATGTGCGATCCAGTTTGATGATTTAGTTCTGTTTCCTTATCTATTTGTGCTGTTCTTTTTGGGTCTGATGTTGGCCAACCCTCATTTGACATGATTCTGTGGCTACATAAATGGTATCCTATGGTGTATGTTGACTTTCTGATGTAGGAATCTTATTTATTTTACTGTAATTTACATATATTTTATTAGGTGTTTATTTGTTGGTTTGCCTTTTTTTAATGAGGTTTGTTGATTTTCCATTATGAATTGGCAGGTTTCAATTTTGGCTGGAACTCTTGCTCGCTTGGATAGAGATGCCCCTCATTATAAGAAGTATGTGATGTGATAACTATTCTAGACTTGTTTGTTGACCATGCACCCTTGCAATGAACAAATGAAAAAATTCCTGCCATCACTTTTTTTATATATAAAATAAACCATATTAATCTTTGGGGCTGTTGCCTGCTGGTGATAATCTTATGATAATTTGTGAAACCGTTCTCTTTATTTGGCATAACTGTTTTTCTAATTTATCAACCAAAGAGAAAAGAAAACAATTTCTAGTCTATGTTTAGATTCATGGGGAAATGGAATTGATAGAAGGAATTGGAGCGAATTCCCAAGATTACCTGATCAAGCATTATTTTTGAGAGAAAAGGTAAAGTAATTCATTAAACCAACTGAGAAAGAAAACAGCCTTGCCCAATAAGGCACTGGGCAAGACAGAAAAAACACTTTGTACATCCCAAAAAATCTCTATTTGAAACTCATAAAAAGAAAGCTGAGCTCAAAAAGAGAGCTGAAAGGACAATTCTTGAGCAACTTGTGAGTTGCCCAAGAGTATAACCTTCCCCAAATGCTCTTTATAACTTCCACTTCTGAACTAAATTTGTCTTTGAATAGCATCCGGTTTCTTTTCGTCCAAATTGACTCCACCACTATTGTTGGCACCACATTCCATAAAGTCTTACCTCTCCTCGACAACCCCTTACAAACCAGCCCTGTAACAACACCAATACATACCTTGGGAAGCACATTTGAACTCCAAGCACCCTTAGTATTTTCATCCATATTTCCCAACTGAATCTACAGTGCAGAAAGAGATGCTCCAACTCCTCAAGACTGTTGCCGCAGAGAACACATCTGCTGGGTTCTACCTCCTTTCCTCTCTTTGACAAGTTGTTAGCTGTTAGGCACCTTCCCTAAGCTGTCACCCACAAGCAAAAAGAGGCTTTTTAGAGTAGCCACCGTTCTCCAGACCATGTCTTTGGGGAAATTAGCTTCCTCTTCAGCACATTGTTGTAAAAGGATTTCACTACGAAAATTCCTGATTTCTCCCATACCCAAATCCTCCTGTCCCAACTTGTGCTATCCACCCTTACCGCATTTGGGATTTGCATTAAGTCTTCCCATTACTCCACTTCCCATTCGTTTAGGTTCTTTTTGAAACTGGGACACCACACTCTTGCCCCTCCACCTTGTGAGAACATCTCCGATACCAAACAATCCTTGTTGAGAGACATATCAAAAAGAGTTGGGGATCTGTCCTTCAGAGAACTATCCCTGCACCAGACCTCCTGCCAAAAATTGGTTCTTGACCCATCTCCTACTTCCAATCTTGTTCCTTGCCTGAATTCCTTCTCTAATTTCTATATGCACCTCAGACTGCACATCCATAGGGTAGGTTTGTTTCCCTTGGGTCCCATTTGGAAGGGGAGGAACCTTCCACGGGAGTGGGAGTAACTGTGGAAGGCTCAACATAAGATTCAACCAGAATTGGCAAATGAAAGGACGAAGAAATAGTTTAGGACTCTCCCCCTTAGAAGGATGACTATAAAAGGGAACCGACTCTATAAAGGTGATATCCATGGAAACAAACTGGGAGCCACTAATGGGATCAAAACAAACAATACCCTTTTTGTGTGGATGCATAACCAAGAAAAATACACTTCCGAGCCATGGGTTTAAACTTATGTCTCTTGGAGATGGGAATGTGGACATAGCAAGTGCAACCAAAGACACACAGAGGAATGGATAAGACCTCAACACTGGGAAAGAGAATAGCAAAAGGAGACTTTAACCCTAAGACTTGGGAAGGCATATGGTTAATAAGATAAGTGTCTGTTAAAACTACATCCCCCTAAAATTTCATAGGAACATGGGTAGCAAAAAGAATGTTCCTTGCAATTTTCACAATATGTCTATTTTTCCTCTTTGCTACTCCATTTTGCTATAGAGTACTGGCACAAGAGCTCTGATGAACAACCCCAAATCTATCTAGGTAGGATGTAAGATCTTTCTCAAAAATATTTCTTAGCATTGTCGGATTGGATTATTTTGATGTGGGTATCAAATTGGGTGAGTATATATTCGTTCAAATGTTGCACAAGTTTAGGCACTTTAGCACGAGAACGCATAAGGTAGATCCAGGTATATTGTGAAAAATCATCAATAAACATGATGGGATATTTGTAGCCACCCATACAAGGTAAATGACAAGGCCTCTGCACATCTGAGCGAACAATATTGAAAGGAACATTAGATCTTTTATTGCTTGAAGTATAAGTGTTCTTACAATGCTTTGAGAACTCACAAGACCCATGATGTAGACTTGACAAACTTATTCCTTTAAATAGTTCTGGAAACAACTGACTCAATGAAGAAAAAGACAAATGAATGATGATGACATAACATAATACGGCTAGTGGACTTTGAAGCCAAAGCAGTTCTCTGAGGTTATACTGGCTTTGCTCAGGCATGTCTAGCAAATATTTCCCATTCACCTCATGGACATTCCCAATCACCTTCTAAGATTTCATGTCCTGAAAAATACAATATGAAGGGTAAAAGGTCTCAGTGCAATTCAGTAGTTTAGTTAAGTTACTAACTGAAAGCAAATTAATATTAAGTTTATGCATATGAAGAATAGAGGATAAGGTCAAGGCATGTGATGTTTTGGTGTCCCCCTTTCTTGTGATAGGAGCAAGAGAGCCATCAACCAGGGATATTTTGTCCCGACCAGAAAGGAGTTGGTAAGAGGTGAATAAATGTGAAACATTGGTCATATGGTCAAAAGCAGCATAGTCAATTATCCAAGGGATTTTATGAGTACCTAAAATAGTGGCATGATTTGCAGTGGAACAAATACCTGAATGTGCATACGCAGAGGAAGGAATTGTTTTTGATGAAGTAGGTATTGTAGTAGTAGACTCCAAATGATTGATTATTCGGCCATACTTCTCACCACCTTGTCCCTATTCAATCTGTGAGGAGGTGGCTACATTTGCATTTCCACCTTTTCATTCTCAATCCTCTTTCCATTGTTTGCATTCTTGAGTCTAGCAAGAATGAGCTTTGGATGTAGCTTTTAACAGGTGTCTTTAGTATGTTTAAGCTTCTTGTAGGACTCACAAATAACCATAGTTGTTAAGGCATCTAGGCGAGCCTAGGCGACCACAAAGCGCTTAGTTGCCTAGGCGACGCCTAGGTGATGGAATTTGAAAGTATAAAATATATATATCCCTACTTCTCTTAAGCTACGTTATTGGTTTTTTATACTAACAAACATACCTGTATGCTAGCTATTAGCAATAAAATCATTTGAATAAAACATAACATGCCGTGGCTAGCATCCAGGCCAAAATAAAGGGGGCTTGCAGATAAGAAAAGAGTGAAAAATAAGGGGGCGGAACCCCTGCTTCGTTCACAACATAAGTTGTCCAAGAGGACGATGTGAACTGTGTTTAAGGGGGTGGAGACCTTGTTTCAAGCTAAAAAAATGGAGGATTGTTAAGAAGAAGAAGAAGAAGAAGGAGGAGGAGGAGGAGGAGGCGGAGCCCCTATTTCATCCCAAAAGAAGAAGAAGAAGAAGGAGCAGGAGGCAGAGCCCCTGTTTCATCCCAAAAGAAGGAGCAGGAGGCGGAGCCCCTGTTTCATCCCAAAAGAAGAAGAAGAACGTACCAGGAGGTCTTCCCGTCATCGTTTTCTCTTCTCAGCTCTCGTTTTCTCTTCTCTTTTATTAAAGTAAAAGAGAATTACTTTAATAAAAAAAGATAATATACAACAGGGTGTATTGTAATAAGATAAAACAAACCAATAAAAATGATATAATACATATACACATTCAAAAAAATAGTATAACATATATATGTGTGAGCGCCTAATACAAAAACACCTAGGCGTTGGGCGAGGTGACTTCTAAAAATCGCCTAGTCGCCTTGACAACTATGCAAATAACATCTTTCTTCCCAATGTTGGCCTTTGGCTTCATGCTGGCATTAGCATAGTGATCCACATGTGGCTCTACAAATTGTGCCTATCATCTGCTCTCCTCACTACTCACCATAGCATAAGCCTGAGATAAAGTCACCTCATCTTTTGCCAAAACATTCTGCCTCACAATATCATAATTTGGATTGAGTTCGGTGAGGAACTCAAAAATCCGATTTCTCTCCACCAGCTTTGTATGTGTTTCAGCATCCTCTATACAACCCCAAACAATAGTCTCCATCAAATCAATCTCCTGTCCATAGTTTTCAAGGCGCCAAGGCGAGGCTAGGCAACCACAGGGTGCCCAGGCGCCTAGGCATTGGAATTTTAAAATGTTAGCTTTATTGAGTTTTTACTTTATATATGCTTTTCTAAGTCATTTTATTTGTTTTGTGTGCTAACTAGCAAGCATGTACACTAACTATTAACACTATAAATCCTTCAAATGAGTATAAATTTCATATAAAAAGCTAAAAATATAAAATATTATCAACAAAAAGGAGTCTAAACCAACTAGGCAACTACACTAAAAAACTAAACTAATAAAGTAATAAATACTAAAAATATTTTTTAAATCCATGAAGAGTCAAAGACATACCTTTGAGTTTGAAGTGAATGTTGAGCATTGTCCTTCTTGAGTGCTCTCTCTTTTCTCACTTTTCCTTTAACACACACGCACACACAAATCAATAATAAATTAAACAAAAAGCATTGTAAATTTACAATAAATGAACAAATAATAAAAGGAATTTTCAATTATGTAAAAAACTAGGAATCAAATCAAACACATATGACATACCTTGATTGAAATTTATCTATTCTAGGCATTTAAAGGAAGTAGGAACCAAATCAATCAATGAATAAAACCATAACAAAAAATAAATATGGCACTTAACCAATTCTCCAGAATCTCCACTAAAGGATTAAGGATAACAAAACATGAAGTTTATAGATGATCAATAAGGAAAAGTATCTAGTTAATTTCAACATCTAGGTAATAAGAGCCTGCAATCCCTCCACTAAATCCACCAACATCATCCGCATCCTCATTGTCTTCATCTTCC